TGTGCACCACTGCACCTGGCCCAGGGTGCACATTTTATTTATTTATTTTTTGTGGTGCTGGGGATGGAACCCAGGGCCTTGTGCATGCAAGGCAAATGCTCCACCAACTGAGCCGTATCCCCAGTGTGCACATTTTAACACACACTCTTAACGACTTGTTTTCAGGAGATGGGGTGGATTCAGTTGTTTCCTCTTCCTGGGATGTGTGCACTCATCACACCTTCTTATCATCTTTCAACCACAAGCACACAGTGAACGTTCTCAGCCATCTGTCGGCCAGGCCGTGGGTGCTGACTGGTCAGTGGCTGCACTTGTTCCCCGTACCTTCCCTCTGGTTCGGCGCCTTGCTACGTCACGTCTTCAGGAGCCAGGTGCTGTGGCGTACCCCTGTGACCCCAGCTCCTCTGGAGGCCGAGGCCAGGAACCTGGCACGCCCCAGGCCCTGGCTTCTCTCCAGTGCCACCAAGAAGACGTGTTTTGGGGAGGGTATGTGGTGGGAAGATTCTTAGTTCTTACGGACGTGGACATAGTTTTGCCTTCTTGCCTTTCAAGTTTCTAGTTCAAAGCTGCTTTTCCTCAGGTCTTGGGGAATATCATTCTTTTGTCACCCGAGTTTTCTTAGATACATCGTAGATTCCCTCTCCGTCTTCCACAGTTTGTTTCAGTAACAGGTGTCTGTTAAGGAGGTGTTTTTCCCAAAGAGATTCAGAAGGTGCTGTGGATCCGACCGAGGCTTCCTCACCTCTCCTGTGCCTCCCATGTATTTCCAGTTCCTGTTCCTGTTGCTGTGCATGACATTTTGCCATTTAAAACTCCACTCATTAGGGGTTTGTTTTCAAGGATACATTTTAATTTTGAAGATTTCTGTAATCTTAGTGCTCAGGAGGTTGAAGCAGGAGGATTATAAGTTTGAGGCCAGCCTCAGCAACTTAGTGAGACCCTAAACAATTTATCAAGACCCTGTCTCAAAATGAAAAAAAATAAAAATAAAAAGAGGGATGTAACTCCGTGGTGGAGCACCTGCCTGGCATGCTTGGGGCCCTGGTACCTGCAAAAAAATAAAAATGTTTTTTCCCTTTTTCTTGGTGATGCTCTATGTGGAGTGCCCATGTCACCACAGGGACGGCTGCCCGTCCAGGAGGATGTCCGTGAGGAGCCGGGTCCTCTGCAGCCTGGGGGCTGAGGCAGCTTTTCCTGGGCAGCTGGGGGTGTGTGCTCCACCTGAGCAAGTGGACTGAAGTCCTGTTGAGGCCGGGGCCTCGCATCCCCTGGTGCGAGCAGGCTGATGCCAGACAGAGGCACAGACTTGGTGGGTGGCCAGGTGACTGGCACGCCATGTGTAGTACAGCGTGGGGCAGGACGCGCGGTGGCTCTGCTTTTGGGACCCCCCCACTTCAGGCACCCTGAAGAGCCAGCGAGATGGGCAGGGGCAGGGGGGTGAGAAGTCCACTGCAGAGGCACCTGCTGCCTGGTCCTGCACACAGAGAGGCCCCTGTCTCCTGCAGGCACACCATGATGGACACTATTCGTGGACCTACTGGAACCTTCTGGCCATCCTCCTGGCCTTTGTCACGTGTTGGAGGTAGTCAAGGGGCCTGCCAACAGCACTGTCACCCCACCAGCCCCTGTCCCTGCCACGCTCTGCCTAGTCCAGGCCTGTGCGTGGACAGTGTGGTCAGGAGACTCCACTCCATCCTCTTGGTCCTCCAGAGCTCCCTGCACCTCCACCCTCCTGCTGGCCTCTGTCCCCTGGGAACTCGCGGGCCATGCACCCCTGGGTGGGCTCCATGGTTGTGGACCATGCCAGGGGAGCAGGTGCTGGAGGCCAGGCCTCCTGCGCCCTGCAGGCTGCTCTGGGCATTTGCTCTGCCAAGGGCTGGGGTTGGACCTTCTCCTCCCAGCACGTGGTGTCCTGCGTTGGCCACGTCTCGAACATCCCAGAGCCGGGGGAGCTCAAGGTGAAATGAGCACTGCTTGGCCGAGCAGGCACTGGCAGAGTGTGGGGCGAGCGCTTCCACCCAGCCTGTCCATCCACAGCCTGCCCCTTGGCCCGAGGGGGGACCCTGGCCGCCTCTCCCTGATGGGCCTGGGTGTGGTGAGCAGGACACCTCGCCTGTCCTGGGCTCTAACCACGCCAGGGAGACAACTCGCTTCCTGTCCCCTAGGTCACAGACCCCGCTGGACACCCCTCAGGGTCCGTCCCTGAGGCCAGCGGCCTGCAGCTGCAGGGGTGGCCTTCGTGGTGCCCCTCTGCTGCCCCTCACAAGCCCCATGAGCCAGGACACTGGACGAAGTGCGTCCTGTGGTGCTCAGCGGTCTCTGCAGACCTTTCCCGCTCATCCATGGGGTGGCTTCCCTGGGCAGTTCTGACCTCACGCTGCTGGCCCTCTGCCAACTCGGCCAGCTGCTGTGATGCCCGCATTTCCTAACTCTGTCCACTTGCCATCGAGGTCTCTTCCTCTGCCATGGCAGATGGTGCTGAATAAACACCCGTGGACACGTGCCCATCTTGGCTGACTCCGGGAGGGCACTGAGTGGGACTGGGGTGTCCGGGGACCTGGCCATGCGTCCCCCTGGGAAATGCTTCTTCACACACAAGGTCCTCAGCCACCTGTCATTCAGCCAAGGCGACCCTTGGCCTCAGACCAGGGCCCTGTGCTGAGCAGTGAGCTGCCAGTTGTGGACTCGCCTCCTCACCTCCGCCAGGTGCTGGGGGCGCGGGTGCCAGGGGGCGTGGAGGACCCAGCCAGCACCAGGCTCCCTCCTGCTGACCTGCCTTTCTGCTTCAGCGCTGAGGGTGGGATCTCGGGGCACTCCATCACTAGGCCACACCCCCACCCTTTTTATTTGAGACAGGGTCTCACTAGGTCACTGAGGCTGGCCTTTAACTCAACACCCGCCTGCCGCGGCCTCCTGAGTTCCTGGGACCACAGGTGTGGCCTGCGGCCGGCCGGCTGGGTGCTTCTTTTTGTCATGGCCATCTTCAGCTCAAATCTTAAGGCAGACTTAGAGGTGACGCCAGGAGCTTGCCGTCCCCGGCGACGGGGCTCTCGTGTGGACGCACTGTCGGGACCAGCACGGGGTGGGCCGGGGCCTACGGGAGCCTGGAACCCTGGCTCTCCCACCCACCACCCCTCACTTACGGCAGCCTCCTGGGGTGTGGGTGTCTCAGTGGCCATTCACTGGGCTGCCTCACTGGTCACACCCAGCGTGGGCCCACTGGGTCCCTAGGTCCTTGTCACAGGTGGGGGCCTGTCCTCTTGGCAGCAGGGGTCCCACTGGCTGCTCACAGACTCACCCACCATGTGGGGGCTGGAGTGGCCTCCTCCTGGCCACCCTCGCGCTGGGCCCCGTGCCTGGGTGCTGGGAGTGCCGGTGCAGAGAAGGCAGGCAGCACCCTGAGCTAGCGGAAGCAGCTGGGTGGGGTGCGGGCAGCGCCGGCTCCCCCACTGTGGCTCTGGAGAGGTGGGGACAGTGCTCAGTGCTGGGATTCGCTGGGAGGGCCACAGAAGACTGGGACCACCCAGCATGTTGCCACCCACCACAGTTACGAGAACACGCAATGCATCTGATTCCGGCTTTTATTTTAGAATCTATAAAATTCCAGTGTCATCCATATTCACGAGCCTTTACAGGTGTTTGCATATCATTTCCAAATGGCAAAAGTTAAGGCCGAGGGATGAACGCAGCTACAGAGACGGAACAGGAAGACATTCAGCCGCAGGAAGGGCCTCCCGTGGCATGGGTACAGTCATCTCAGTCTTTATGACAACCAAGGGAGAGGGGTGCGGGACCCTGAGCAGCGAGGACCTGCGTCGACGGGACTCAGCAACATGGAGATGCTGGGCACGCCCTGTGAGGACAGGGCCGTCTCCTGGGAGGGGAGGGCTGGGCCCTGCAGGAGGGCGTTGCAGGAAAGAAGCAAGAGCACGGGGCAGGCCAGAGGTGGTGTGGGGGCCAGGAAGCCCAGGGCTCCACAGGAAAGCGCCCCAGCACATGCAGACGGAGGGCCACAGCCCTCCCTGCAAGGCCTCCCCGCCCCTGGGAAGGCAGAGTCCCTGCCTCCTGCCCCAGGGTCATCCCCACCCACCAAGGGCCGCTGGCCTCTGGAGAAGCAGAGGCCTTCCCCGTCTGGGTTTGGCCTGCCTGACAACGGCAAGCGAGGCGGCTTGAGCTCCTGGCGCCACAGGCAGACCTGGGAGAAGCAGCTCTGGGCAGTCCCAGAGCTTGGGGTTCAGACGGCCAAGCCTGAGTGACTGCAGTGAGCAGGCCCAGCACCTCCAGAGAAGGCCTGGAGGGGCACAGGGTGGCTGGGCTGGACGCTGCTGCCCGGGACCACCTTCCCTTCTGAGGGCCCTTCAGCCTGGCCAGCGGAGGGCCCCTGTCACGCCCAGGCCCTCCTTGGCCAGCGGCTCTCAGCACCCAGTCCCGCGGTCCTCCTGCTTTACTCCTTGGCCCAGCGACAGCGAAACCTGCCCCAGGACTGGGAACCTGGGCCCTGGGGGCAGTTCCACCGCAGGAACAGCGCCCCCTGGAGGGCGCCAGCCTTGGCACGCAGCTCCTGTCCCCAGCTCCGCAGCCGGGCTCCTGCTCAAGACCCCTACACACCAGCTGAGGTAGAAAGAAGGCTGCTGAGGCGAGGGGCCCGGGGAGTGGGGAGTGGAGTGTCAAGCTCCCATCTCCACTGGATGCGAGCCACAGCCCACTAGGCCATGGCGGCAGCCACAGGACCCAGGGGCACACACTCACACGGCTTCACCTCTAGGCTCACCCACAGACCCCAGAGCCCAGGAGGCGCCAGGAGCCTTGGTACTGTCGCACCTGAAGCAGGCTCACGGGTGCGGCGTAGGGCCCACTCCCGCTGTGTAAGCCAGGCACTCCTCCCACCTGCTCCCTGTGCTGAGCAGACCGTTCAGCCAGAGGCCAGCTGCAGTCCACCAAAAGGAGGGTCCGGGGGACAGGCAGTGGGCAGGGGAGGTGGGAAAGGAAGAGGGCAAACGTTTGGCTTTTATAAAGTCAAGGAAATTTATTTCCTGAGGTCATGACACAGGAAGTCGACTCCGAGCCGCTGCTGTGGAGCTCTGGTGAAGGTCAGTGCTGACCGCATGCTGGGTGACCAGGAAGCTGGAGTCTTACCACAAATGTGCAATGACCTCTGCTTAGTGTTCAACATGGTGGCACCTGTCCTGGGGCACCACCCAGGGGCAGCCCCTGAGCCCGCTGGGTGACGACCAGGCCTGGGGAGGTGGTGACAGGGCCGGCCGTCAGGCTTCACTGCGAGACCTCGGGAGGGGGGAGCGTCAGCAATGGGGCCCAGCCGCTGGGTCAGACCGAGACCAACTGTGTGGCGGCTGGCTCAGCAGCTGGAGAGGGTGCTGCTTTTTGATCATTATCGTTTGGGGCCCCAAGGGAGGGTCTTGGGGGCCACCTGAGCCCCAAAGCTGGGAAACTCCTCAGAGCTGCTCATATCAGGGGCCTGTGGAGAGGAGAAGCAGCCTCAGCCTGGGGTCCAAGGGCACCCACATGGCCTCCAGGGCCTGCAGCTGGCCTGCGGCCCATCTCCCCCTGTCCCCCGCCCCAGGGCCAGGGAGCAGAGGGAGAGAGGCCACTGACCTTCTCACTGCTGCTGGCAGTCCAGGGCGCGTCCCGCACCACAAAGCCTTTGGAGGGGGCCTTGGACTCCTCGTGCACGGGGGGCTTCAGGTAGCCCTGCAGAGCCTCACTGTCCACCACGTCGGCCAGCTGTGGACAGGGAGGGGCGTCTTATCAGGCATCAGCCCAGGCCAGCAGCATGGGAGGAGCACTGCCGCAGAGCTGCCCTGGCTGCCTCCCCGGGTCCCGACTCACGTATTCCTCCTCCAGGTTGAGGATGTGATCGATGGCCTCCTCCACGTTCTCCGGGAGCCCTGTCACAGTGACACAGTTGGGGTCTGGGGCTCCAGTCTGTGGGAAGCGGATGTCCACCTGGAAGGAGCACATGTTAGCTCAGGGGCCGAGGGAGGCCCGTTTCCAGGAGTGTCCTCTGAACTGGTGAAGGTGCAGACCCCTGCTCTCGGTGGTCTTCCCTCCCCTATATGGAGGGCTCAGGGGCCAGGGTCCCCGAGACACCATGTTGGAGAAACACACCACGTGGCTCGCCAGCCTGCAGGTGCCCTGCCCTGTGGGGCGCAGGAGTCGGTGACCACGGGCATCCAAGGAGGATGTGCACTTTCTCATTCCCGGGCTTCTGGCCACTCTGGGGACTCACCTTGAATTCATCCATGATTTTTCGGATGGCTTTGCCTCGGGCGCCAATGATGCGGGCGTGGACACGGTGGTCCAGCGGGACGTCTTCAGAGACCATCTGCTCAAGCTCACCCACGATCTTCAGGATGGCGTTGCGGGCGGCTTCTGTGTTCTTCTCGTACCCTGTGATGGTGATTTGGTCCTGGGGCTGAAAGAGAAGGCGGTCAGAGAAGGGGGCGTCCTGCTGGGCTCCCGAGGCAGCGGCTGGAGGGCCGAGGTGTCTACAGTGCCCTGAAAAATAAGCATCAGCTCTAGAAGGAAGGAGGCTGAGGGCTGGTGCTGCGGTGAGACGGCAGGCTCCCCACGTCCACTCAGCACTGTGTCCACCAGACAACCAACACAGGACCAGAAAGGACACTGCCGATAAAGACGGGACAGCAGGAGTGTGGACTCCAGAAGAGTGGGCAGACAGGAAGCAGAGGAGGAGCTGCAGTACTGGTCCTCAGGACAGGGAAGAACTGGTCCCAGTGAGGGACAGACCAGGGAGAACCACAGACTTTGGAGGGGACACCACGGCAGACAGAACCAGCGGGAAGGGGCAAGGGAGGCAGGATCTGCCCTTGACGGGCGCAGCCCAGCTTGGCCACGCCCAGCAGTGGACAGCTGTGCCTGCTCCACCTGCAGTTTGTGGGTGTTGGCCAGAGCGGCTGAGCTCCACGTCTAACCTGAAAACTGGTAGTTAGGGGAAGATGGTGGCAGCCAACCCATGGGCGCCAGGGCAGTCAGAACCAGGAGCCAGGAATGCAAGGGCCAGTGGAATAAGAAGTAGGGCAGGCCAGGGGGCCCTGCTGGGCCCCAAGGTGTGCTAGAAGAACCAGCCCAGGCCAGCAAGCAGAGATCTCGCAGGGCAGCCGGGGCCACCCAGAGAGGCCCAGCCTGAGGGCAGGATGGCCAACATCTGGGCAGGACCAAGCTGGAAATGGACCTGAGGGTGAGGCAGGAAAGTCCAGTGCCAGAGGTGGGAGTGGGATCTGCCTTCTGATTCGTCTTGAGCGAGCAGTAAGGAGGCCATAGGCTACAGAGGAGCTGTACCCTGGTGTCTCAGGTCCACCTGCTCCCAGGGCTGTAGGAGCTGGTGGACAAGCATGATGGCCTAAGAAGGACCTGCTAGGGCTCCTGCCTGCCAAGACTGAACAAGTGGGCACAGGGAAACGCCCAAGGTCCCCAGGGACACCCGTGTCGAGGGGCAGAGATGTGGTCACACCTCAAGCCAGATCAGATTCTCAGACCTGCTCTGTGAACTCACCCCTGACCCCAGCTGGGCGCCTGGCTGGAGCGTGTCTGGCTACTGCTTCCAGGTCAACGCCAAGGTCAGGGAAGCCCACCGAGTCCTAGCACCATGCTCGCACTCACCTGGCTGCCATCGTCCTTGTCCGGAAACTGGATGTTCACGTCGTGCTCTAGCCGGATCTGGGTGATCACTGCCCCCTTTCTTCCGATGATTTTGGGATGGTATTTGGGGTCTACAGTGACGCTCAGCTTGAAACTCCGTAGAGCCTACAGAGAAAGAGTGAGGCAGAGTGAGGCAGAGTGAGGCAGAGGCTGTTCAGCCACACGCACCTTGCTACAGTGGCCTCTGACCAGTGCTCCAGGCCTGACCCCCACCCACAGCTGAGAGCGAGCACAGAGACGCTGGCCGCTCTGAGAAAGCCGAGGTGCCTGGGGTTGGCCCCCTTGCTCAGCACTCTCCCAGGCCGGCCTGCCGGGCTCTGAGGGCCGATGTGAAGAGACCCACTGGACTTAAGGAGAAACCGAGGAAGAGGCAGCTGCCACGTCTAGGACAGAGGGCCGGGAGCTTGGGCTGGCCTGAGCACACTCCCTGGATGAGCAGGCGACAGATCTGCTCCATGCCGCTCACAGCGGCAACCGTCCCTATGGTGGGCCCTGTTCCCACAGTGGCATCTGCATCAAGCCCCCGACCACCCTCTCCCATGCAGGTGGTGCTCAGACCCTGCATGTGGCACTGTGCCTGGGGCGAGGAGGAGTCTTGCCCTACTGCACAGCAGGGAGTCCTGGGCTTGCTGGCCACATTTCTTACAGGGCCTGAGGCACCACAAGGTTTCTTCTGGAATCACAAATTAATGTCGTGGTAAAGGGGAAGACTGCCTGGCCCTTGGCTCCTCCCACAGGGCTCTCTGGTCCAGGTCCCTTGGGGGTGCATCTGCCCGGCCCCACTCACACGGTCCTCCTGCTCAGCCTGCAGCTCCTTCACGCGCTCCAGCAGCCCGGCCTTGGCTCGGTCCAGATTAGCAGCGAGACCGGTGATGGCAATGACGTCAGACTGCCGCTCAGGAGCTGGGACGTGAATGTTCACCTGTGCAGTTGGAGCAGGGATGGTGTCTGGGGCCAGGCAGCAGGTGTCACCTGGCCCCAGCTTACAAGCCCAGGCTGGGGGTCCAGAGGGAGGGCAGGAAGGAGGTTAGAGCAGAAGAAGGTGATGCCAAGGGTCCCCAAGGGATGGCGGCGCTTTGGAGCCGTGGGCACATCCCCTGCATGTCCCCAGGGAGCTGTGGTGTGCAGCCCACCTCCATGACAGCCTGGAAGGAACTCTACCTCAAACTCGTCCATCATCTTGCGGATCCCACTTCCCTTCTGCCCGATGATGTAACGGTGAAGGTCAAAGGGCACCTCCACCTCGATGGTGACAGGAACTAGAGCCTGTGGGAAGGGCAAGGTTGGGCCGAGAGCAGAGGGCCTGAGCTCAGGGCCCTGTCCCTCCTGCCCTGTGCCCTGATAAGCTAACCAGACCTTGACCCATGGAAAGCAGGAACAGGACGGGGCTCAGCCTTGGCAGTGCCCTCCTCAAGAGCAGGCCCAAGGCCCCCAGGGAGGGGCATGCAGCCTCCAAGCCCGGCTCCTACACATCCGGGGTCCCTGTGGGACCTTCCTGACGGCGGGTCGCCTGCCTGGTCCCACTTGGGTCTGAGAGCTACTGCCCTGCGCCCATCACCTCTGCAGGTGAGTGCCACAGCTGGAGTCTCTGTCCTTCTGAGGCAGATACACCGTGGTGTCACAGTGTTCACACCAGGACCAGCGTGGGTGGCACTCAGTAAACGTTCAACGCCACAACCACTCACGGTCATAACGAGCCTGAGGTGGCTGCTCCTTCCGTGATGCCGGGGCCCTGTGCTTACACCTCAGGGCCACAGTGAAGAAACCAACTGCCCTGGTCACCAGGGCAGCTGCCCAGCCCCTGGGGAGGCCACGCACCTCCAGTGCCTCCTTGGCTGCCTCACACCTCTCTTTTCGGCCAGAGATGACGATGATGTCACACCTCCGTGGAGAGCCAGGCTCAGCCTCTCTGCCCTCCCCGGCCTCCTCACCGTTCTCCTGGACAGCTGGCTCTGTGCTGGGGACTGGGGAGAGGAGAGGTGTCACCTCTGCTTGTCACTGCTATTTGTCAAGCACCTGCTATGTGAGCGTGAGAAAGGGAGGGAAGGTCCATTCATCTTCCAAGCCGAGGTCTGGGCAGGGAGGGCAGACGGCAGGTCTCAAAGGGGCTGTGAGACACCATAGGAGTGGACGAGGCTCGCAGTGTGTGAGAGTATGAGCAGCCCTGCGTGTGCAGCTGAGCACAGGCCACACAGCCGGTCCAGTAAGCTGCCTCTGAACAGGCTGCGGGAGGCCAGGAGCACGGGGCCCGTCCACAGAACACAGACCAGGTGGGACCAGGTGTGCCAGCCACAGCCCAGACACCACCTGTCCCCTCACACCCGTGAGCGCCACAGCCACCTAAGGGACACCTGCTGTGGAAATTCGGTGGATGCAGGGGTGGGCAAGGTCGCAGGCTGTGACCTGGACGGGTCTGTGCAGCTGGCTATCCAGGTGTGACTGTGGACACACAGGCAACAGGATTCAGCTGACTTCCTCCACAAAGCAGCCCAAGCGAGGTAGGGGGATTGCAATGGCTGCATGTGACAGGCCCTGTGGGTGTCACGCTAGTGACACTGAGTGAACGCAGCTGGCTGCAAGGTCCTGAGGCCAAACGGGGCCCGCGAGGACGAGTCCACAAGAGGATGCACATCCTGTGGCACTCCTCCCACTGTCAGGTCCCCAAGTACAACCAGGTGACAGATGGGGACACAGCCTACTGTGCTGTGCAGCAAGGGAAGAGGCTGCCCACACACATTTGAACCCAGACAACGTCCCAGGGCTGACCCTGCAAACCCCAGCTGCCCACGGCTGCCCATAAGCCCTGTCTCCCATGAGCGCTGGCTGACCTGGGCCACCTTCCAGATCAGGGCTCCACGGCTGGGGTCCAAGCACCACCAGCACTGAGCAAGGGGCAGGGCAGAGGCGCCAGGGAAGTGCACGCCAGCACTGCAGGACCCACCTGGGTTCTCCTCTCTGTCTGGGAACTTGATCTGGACATTGTGATCCCGAGTGATCTGCTGGATCCTGGAGCCTTTGGGGCCCATGACAGATCGATGGAACCTCTGGGGGATGGCGCACTCCACCGTCACCTGGGCTTCCTGAGGTGGACACAAACACACGAGGACAGAAGAGCTGGGGTCGGTCCCTGAGCTCCGCCCAGCGTGCCCTGCCACCTACGCCCGCTCTTCCGAGGTGACCCCATGGCAGGGCAGCAGGGCCCATCCTCCCTCTAAATGGGTCCTGCAGCTTGAGTACACCACAACTGATGCCCCACAGACCTGGTCCCTGGGGGTACGGCCTCCAGGGTGCACAGGGATAGCTCAAGAGGTGGCTTTAAAAAAGCCTGTGCTTCAGGTGGCTGCTCCAGGGACTCGCCCTGGTGCCCTCTCCCCCTCAGAGGGCTCCCTCACGTGGCCCTTGACAACTACATAGCAGGCGTGCTGGGTGGCAGGCAGGGAAGTGGGGGACGGGCGGAGCGCCAGCCCACAGCCTCTGGGGCCTCACCAAGTCCTCAATGATCTCCTGAATGCGCTTCTTGGCTGCCTCCACACACTCCTTGGCACCTTTGAGGGTGACCTTGTCGCTCTGTGTGCCAGAGCGCGGGAAGCTGACCATCACCCCACCATACTCCTCTGCGATCTCCCGCAGGACCTGGCCTCTTCGGATGACGAAGTGGCGGTGGTGCTTGGGGTCCACCAGCATGGAATCCTCGACCACGTTATCCTTGGTGCAGAGAGGAGGAAGGGGAGGTGAAGCCCCACCCAGTGGCACCAAGCCCCACGCCCAGGCCCAGGCCCAGGCCCTACCAGGTTCTGGATCAGCGCCTCCAGCTCCCTCTGTGCCTCCCGGACAGCGTCCTCCTTTCCTATGATAGTGATCAGGTCTTGGTCCTTGTCCTCAGCGGCTGGGAAGATGATGCGGGCACCCGTGCTGTCACGCACCTTGCGGATTTTGCCGCCCCCCTTGCCAATGAGGAACTTGTGGTACTCTGGCTTGGCTCGGATGTCCACGGTGAAGCTCTTTGTTTGCTGCAAAAACCAACCCCCAGTGTGTGAGCCCCCACTGCCACACTGGCCATGGTGCTGGAGAGCAGGAGCATCTCCCCTCAACGGGCACACACACTCAGATGGATGGCACTCGTGGTCTTCTGCAGAGCCATCGGAAGATGGCAGCCAGGTGCAGACTGGGACTCTGGTCTTCCCACTTACCAGCAAGGACTGATCCGGACCTGCTGGGTGTGGACTGTGCAGTGGGAAGTGCTGGCCCCACGTAGGCCCTGGGGTTCGGCGCATGGGCCCAGCAGATGTGCATGTCAGGACAGTCCCACCACAGAACCCTGCTTCCCTGTCGCCCCAGATCCAGGGCCACCTTCCTGCACTCAGGGCTGCTGTGAGGCCTATGCACAGCAGCCAGCTCCACTCAGCCACTATCACCAAGAGCACAGTGAGTGAAGAGCCAGAGACCTTACACAGCAGAACAAGGCCCCACTGACACTAAGAAACCAGGCTGGGAGGGAGGGGAATGCTGGGCAGTAGAAGTGGCCAAGTTATTGTTACAGTGTGTGCGTGTGCGAACTCTTGGCAATGATCCTATGAGAATGCACAACTACGGCGTACCAATTAAAAACAAAACATGAATTCCCGCAGCTAGGAAGGCTGAGGCAGGAGGATCTCAAGTTCAAAGCCAGCCTCAAGCAAAAGCAAGGCACTAAGCAACTCAGATCAGACCCTGTCTCTACAGAAAACACAAAACAGGGCTGGGGATGTGGCTCAGTGATCAAAAGCCCTTGAATTCAACCCCCAGAGCCCCTCTCCCCAAAACAACAACAAGACACCATGGGGGAAAACTGTTAGAAGAATTTCTTATTCCTTCTTAAAATTCTGGTAAAGGTTAAAACAAACCAAAAAACCAGGGCCCAGCAAAAGCAGTTCCTGTGCCCTTGTCAGACACCAGTGTCTTCAGCAGACTCCTGGAGGAGCGGTGGGATGCACGGCCCTGTGATCAGGACCCAGGGGCCCTCTGGACCAGAGGCTGGGCCACAGCAGGAAGAACGTAGCAGGGGAGCAGCTGCCACCCTTCCGACAAAGGCCATGCCCAAGAGCCAGGCCACCCAGAGGCAGACCCAGCCCAGCAGCAAGGCAGGACGGCCTCGAAAGCAAGCGTGGACTTCCACAAGCAGACAAACAGGACACCACCCCGTCCAACGCAGCGGAGCCACTGATGCAGCCCCTTTAAGACTCTTCACGAAATGCACGCACACACACACGTTCTTATTTTATCTTTTTGCAGTCGTGGGACTTGAACCCGGTGGCTCCTGTGGAGCCCCCTGTCCCCCCTCTAAACTCTGTGGCACTCGGGATGAACCCGAGCACTCACCACTGAGCCACACCCCCAGCACTTTTCACTTTGGGACAAGGAACCACCAAGTTGCTCAGGCTGGCCTGGAGCCTGCTGTCCTGCTGGGTGCCGGGATTACAGCGTGGCCACAGCGTCAGGCTCAGCCCTCAGCCAGGGCTGGCTGTGGAGCTGCTTCCCGACAGGCCATGGAGAAATGGTGCTGGGCTCCCCAGGGAGGGGACGCGCGTGGGCTCACCTTCTCCTCCGCCAGGTGCAGGAGCTGCTTCCTGGCCTTCTCCACGTCAGAGGAGGGACCCCTGATGACGACCGTGTCGCTCCCGGAGCCCTCCACAGGGAAGTGGATGTGCACGCCCCCGCACTCCTCCATGATGGAGCGGATCAGGCGGCCCTTGGTGCCGATGAGCGAGTTGTGCAGCTTGGCAGGGATGGAGACCTCCACCTCGGCGATGTTGGCCTGCAACGGGCAGACAGCAGGCCTCACCACAGTGTGGAGGGAGGAGGGGGCCGGCCTGGGGGACAGCAGGGACAGCAGGCCTCACTGCACTGTGGAGGGAGGAAGCGGCTGGCCTGGGGGACAGCAGGCCCACACTGCAGTGTGGAAGGAGGAGGGGGCCGGCCCGGGAGAGGCTGCACAAGGACAGGCCCACACCCGAGCACTGGCAGTGCAGCAGCAGGACACACTCAGCGCCATGTGACATGACCTGCATCCCACGTGCCGAGGGGTGAGGAGCAAGCATGGAGTAACAGAGTTGGAGCGACCCCTGCCTGCCTACCATCTCCACCAGGAAGCAGACATGGGAGCTGCATGACCGTCCCCACTTGCTATGGCCCAGTGAGGGCAGCAGAGAGAACCCGAGGCCCGGTGGCCACCCACACACTGACCCCGAGGACACCAGAGCAGGGAAAGGTTCTGGGAGAAACAGGCAACGGCCCATAGCTCAGGACCGAGCCACCCCTGCCCTTGGCTTCCTGGGCCAGGTGCAGCTCTAGGAAGCAGGATGGGGATGGACCAAGCTCGCCTCTGATCTGGTCCAACAAGACTGAAGAACGAGTCCCCAAAGGTGCAGACTGTCCGAACACTTACAGCTCAAAATACTTAGAGGAATACAAAATACCCAGCAAAACACACCAGCTTTCAAAGGAACAGGCAAAAAGAACCCATGACAAAGAGAACAGAAAACAACCCAGAAACAGAGATGACGGGACCAGCAGGCCACAGACACCAGGCAGGTGTCCTGCACTGTCTGTGGTTTGCAGCCTGAAAAAAGACTGCCTGAGCTGGGCACTGAGGACACAGAAGACGTTAAGACTCGGACTCAGCTCCTGGAGTCAGACCCACTGATGTCCAGAGGGACACTCACCAGCTGGGATCCTGGAGGACAGGCTTGCCGCCCGGGCAGACTGAATGCGCCACACAGGGAGCAGACGTGAGCCAGCTGGCAGCCTGACAGGAACCAGGCCCAGAAGCCCACTCCCAACATGGCACCTTGCGGGAAAGACTAGGCACCGGACACACTCTGGGGACACCAGGGTCAGTGTTCACACCAGAGGGAACAGAAGGCACAAGCGACCGGGAGCTCTAGGAACAGCGTGCACTGGGGAAACACACATTACCTACGTCTCTTAAGAACAATCCGTCAAACCAAAAGGTCAATGATGCATGGGGGGGTGGGGGGTGGGGGGGTGTCTCGTGACCATACAGGCAGGGGCAGAGGCCCACTGTGTCACAGAGGGCACACACTGAGGACCCCGGGTTGGATCTCCAGAGCCACCCTGAATGTGCCAATGCAGCGGGGAAAAGAGAATCCTAAAAGAAAAGGAACTAGTGAGGCATAGGGACACAGGACGAGGAAGCTGCAGGCACACAGCCGGGGGAGCAGTAGGTGGGGCCGCAGCCCCAGAAGGCTAGCACATGGCCAGTGCTGCCCTGGGCCAGACCCACAGCTGCCTCTGCCTGTGGTGTCTCTATGGGGTCCCCTGCGTTGGTTTTCTCATGGTGGACCCGTTCCGTTCGCAGATGGACGGGAACTGGGAACCTGTGCACAGAAGGCTGAAGGAGAGACAAGAAGGCAGGGTGCCGTGGAGAGCAGGGGCAGAGAGCTTCAGAGCCGGCCACACAGGAGACACCTCGCAGTGACAGGTCGGGGGCCAAGGCCCCGAGGGGCTGAGAAGGCTAAGGGAGTGGGCAGGGCCACAGCCACACAACACTGACCCCAAACACACTAGGCATGATGGACTCCACTACACCTGGGCTCTACTGCATCTAGAAACGCAGTCTAATGTTCTGGTCAAGCACGTGGAGGACGCCATGTGCAAGACGTGGCCCTGGATCAGACTGACCAGACAAACCACAGCTCAGAGATTCCCCTGACGAAGCAAATTGTGGACAGCAGACGTGCAGACAGTCAGGAGGGACGAGTGGGCCCTGCTGTCAGGTTCTCAACGAGGGGGCGGAGGCAGAAAGCAGGAAAAGGCAGAGCAGAGGACCAGGAAGCTGTGTGCTAGTGACCTGGCCAACACGCATGAAAGAACCCATCAAGACCAGAACAAGGAGGGGAGGGGCTGCTACGGTGGACACCACCACCACGGCAAGAGGGGACACTCCACCACGGGGGGACGCCGAGCCACCCTGCAGACCGCAGAGGCTCTGCCACGCAGGGGGACCGTGAGCCACCCTGCAGACCCCAGAGCCTGCACACTTGACCACCGCAGCTGCAGGCCGGCCCTGGCCACGCCTGGGTGGCAGCTACCTTCCCTGGCTTGAAGTGGTGCTAGTTTCCCGGGAGTGCACGTCAGAACCGACAAACTCGACGCTGTGAGTGATCGTACACTGCTTTTTTTAAAGAAGCTGAAGAAAAGACGGTATGCCTGTTCAGATGACACTTTTCACGGGCTCAAGAGGACCAGGGCTTGGGTTCAAGGTCACTGCTATGGGGCTAAGTGATGAGCACCCAACAGACAAGAGGCAGAACTGCTGACCACCCTGCGTGTGGCCCACCGGGAGCCCGTTACCAGGTCTTTCTGGATGGACAGGATCCGGCTCCGGGCAGCCTCACAGTTGGCTCTCTTGCCTGTGATGATGATGGTCTCGGAATTGCTGTTCTCCGCGGGAAGGTCGATCTTGGTGTTGCTTTCCTCGCGGATCTAGGAGAGGGAGGCGAAGCTGAGAGACTGCAGGCCTCCCAGACAGGGGCACTACACACTTTGCCTGGAGGGGAGGCCCGTCTCCGCCTTCCCACAGCAGTCACCTTCTTGATGTTTGCACCACCTTTCCCAATGATGTTCTTGTGAAACTGTTTGAAGATTGGAACAGAAATCGAATAGCTGTTCTCCACCTGCAACATAGGACATGGCAGTGACGCCGCCGGCAGACATGCGCCCGGAGCCTGCTCTCCTCCCAGCCTAGCTGAGCGCCAGAATCTGTCCTCACAGAAGACCAAGTGTCTGGCCACTAACCACCTGGCATGTCACAGCCAACTGGTCTGAAGTCCCTGTCTACAGCAGCCTGCTGATGGTCAACTAGCACCCACCAGGTCTGTCCAGGGGCCCTAACCATCATACTGGCTGGGGGAGTATGTTACATGCCAGGATAGGAGCTGGGTAAGGAAGGTGCTTGGACCCCACAACAGGGCAGCACACAGCCCCCAGTGCTCCTGGGGACCAGCAGCCAGGCAGCAGTGCACAGTACCCTTCAGACCCCCTCACGATCACCTCCCAGGGCCGGAGCCGTGGATAGTGCCAGGCCATGGCTTTCCCAACAGTCCCTCCTCCATACTCCCCGAGCCCTCTCCCACTTCAACTCCACATAAGATGTTCTCAAAGTTACTGGTGGTCTGAGCATGAAGGCATTTAGGAGATGCCATCTCACTGTCCAGGTCCCTAAGAGAGCAGACCCTTCCCCACACAGAGCACTTAGGGGCAGAGTTGGGAGTCTGAGGCCATGTCCAGCCCTGCCTCACGGGGAGGCCTCTAGAAGGCCTACCAGGTCGGCCACCATCTTCTGCATGTACTTGGTGCATTTTTCCACCTCGTTCTTGGGCCCTCTGAGTTGGACAATGTCGCTTTTCTGTGCTGGGTCTGGGAAGTTGATGATAACCTGGAACAACCAACCAGGAGACTGAGCAGGTACAGAGGTCCTGAGCATTCCTTAGGTGCAGGAGAGCACTCCCGGAGATCTGGGGTGCAGCTCAGGGGCTGAGCGCTTGCCCAAGCAAGTGAGCCCCCAGGTAATCCCCAGCACCACAAGGAGGGGAGGAATGCCTCTGGGGAACTTTTACCTCTGGGAATTTGTCACGAATTTCACGGATCCGTTCACCTTTCTGCCCAATGATTGTGCGATGGAATCTCTGCTCAATGATTAGATCCTTGGTACGCTCGTTTTCCTAAAAACAATTAGCACGGATGAAGTCCCTGGTGACACGAGAGCTGCCTGAGTGTGGACACAGGACCCTGGGCTCTGCTGCATAGCCCATCTGTTGCCCAACAGCGGGCGAGGGGTGCCCCGGGCACCCTTGAGACTGCCCGCTGCAGGACGCCTCATCTCTCCAATCATGTCACACTCTGAGTCACCTGGCAGTGTCACTTTCTTGATGGTACAATTACCGAGGTAGGGGCAAGGCCCTGCAGTGGGGCACCGGCACCTGCTTCTACAAGGCAGAGGGGAGTTGGCACCGCATGCCTGGGGGCACTCCCTTCCCAACACAGGGCAGCTCAGGGGGAGACCGAGAAGGATGCCTGACACATCCTACCCAGACCAAGGAACCAACCCCAGGTCTCCAGCCTCCTGGAAACACCCGAGGGAGCCAGCAGGGCACCAGTGGAGATGAAGTCCAGGCAGGGGCAGGACCAGACTGGCACCCGATGACAGAACTCAGTGGTCCAGAGTAGGAAGGAGACGCTGGAGCAAGGTGCCCTGGGGAAGGTCTACGGTGAGGAGAAGCAGGGACACTGGGCTGGAGACAGAGCTCGGAACTAGTGTAGGGCGGCAGGGGGTGGGCCACACCTGGATGACACCTGAGGACACTAGAATCACTGCCAATCAAACAGAAGCCTTCCAAAGTGAGGCTCTGCACGTGGGTCTCGGGCGAGTTCATTTACCCAAATGGGGTAAATGACTGCAGTGTTTGGCTTTCTGGCCTCTCGGAGGCCCCAGGACTTCCATGTGCAGCCGAGTTGAGGACTGCTGCTGTGTGCACTGAGCTCATAGAGGCCAGAGTGCTCTGTGGGAGAGTCCAGCACTTCTGCCTATGGGCGGAAACCCTCTGGGCAGACACCCTGAGTGGGAGCCACCTGGGGTCCTGGGGTGCGCCTTTGCTTCTCCAGCACAGCTGGGGCTGAGGGAGACATGCTGGTAATTTTGGCAGCATGAAAGCACGCCCAACATAGGATGGGGCAACTCCCACCCAAGACCACACACCCTAGCAAGCCCCCCCCCCCCACCCCGGCAGGCAGCCAGACACAGGCCTGTGCTTTCCTGGGGACTCACCATGCGAGAGGCCAGCTCCAACAGCTCCCGCTTGGCCTGCTGCACGCCCTGAGGGTCCCCCTCTATGCGGATTAGGTTGCTCTTCTCGCTGTCAGGAGGGATGCGCACAGACACCTTGTACTGGTCTTTGATTCTGTTGACTTGGGATACAAAAGAAGATGGGGCAGCTTGGATACAGAAGCTCCGAGGTCTACAGACACCAGACAGCGAGGAGGGACAGGGCCAAGCCTCAATAACCTCAGCAGTTATTCCCACTAACCCCAAATGACCACCAGCCTCCAACACGAGAGCATCTACCATCTGCACTGGGAGCTGGTCATGATCTTTGCTGGACTGCAAAGTTTCCAGTGCGGGCCAGCTCCCAGCATCATCCACAGGCTGGCACTGCCCTGAGGCTTCACATGTGCCAGGACCATGGAGTTGGAGGTTTGCTGGTCTGGGGTAAGGCTGGGGTTTTAGAATATTTACAAGATCCCAGGAGGTAATAAAGTGCAAATTTGCAACTGATGGTTCAAATAAAAAATTATATGCGTTAGCTCAAGACAGAAACGCTTGCTGACTGACCACAGTGGTGGGACCCCACCCCATTCAGACTGCGCATCAGCTTAGACCCCACTGAGTGCTTTGCTGTCCTCACAAAACAACTGGAAGGCCACTCTCCTGCTGCCACCAACTCTGGACAGAACATGGTGTTCATTGGAGATGCAGGTCCCCAACCCTGGGGGAGCCAAACCACCAAGCATCAAGGCCAGCCCTGCCCACTGTGCAGTGAAGAGAAGCAGAGCTCCTGGGAGACCAGAGGCTCTGGATGGATGTCCGATGCTGTGCAATTGTGAGAGGGACAGGAATGAAGAACTGGCTCTTTTGGGGGAGGGGGAGGGTGTGGGTCAAGAGCAGCAGGACAGAGAAGCGGGCAGCAGGTTTTAGATTATGGAAAAATAAAAAGTAAGGGTCTGGAATTGGATCACAAGACAGAATGGATGCAATTCTTTGACCATGCTGTGCTCAGAGCTTCTGCCATTCCCAGGTGGCACAGACCAGAAACGTCGTCAGAACTGTACTGCTGAACCTCCCTGGAGTTCTTAACCAACGCCAAGAGCAAACCTCAGAACCGAGGTTGTGGTGTGCGCAGGACAAGCGGTGTGGAGCGGTGAACACCACCCGAGGACCCTCTGCACCTGAGACTGCCGTCCCCATCACAGACACGGCCCAGAACACAGAGAGGATGCCGAGTTCCAAGCCCCAGTGTGGCAGGCAGGCTTCCAGCTGTTCGCCATGGAGAAAGGCTGTATGATATCAGTCACAAGCAGGCCCAGGAAGGACCCTCTGCCAACTAGGAAGGGTGTGTGTGCACCCCACATTCCACACTCAAGGTGAAGCCTGGGGCCCAGAGCCACTCCGAGACAGGTGCAGTGACCCAGGCACAGGACAAGGCTTGCAGAGGTCATCTTGGATGGTAGCCAAGTGCTCCTTCAACACGTGCCCAAGTTACTGCACTCTTGTGCTGTCCCTATTGTGTGACCCAGATGTTTCTCCAGTGTTGACAACGGGTGGACAGTGACTGAGGGCTCACCTGTGGCCTCCCCAAGGTGGTGGACATGGGTAGGAAGTCTGGGAAATGAGCTGACTAGGACAACAGCACTCGCCAGAAAGGCCAAGTGCAGCAAGCCCGCTGTCAAGGGAGTGTGCCACCCCCAGCCCACTCACTGTTGGCCCCGCTCTTCCCGATGAGGTGCCTGTGGAACCTGTGGTCGATGCTGATCTCCACATAGTCCATCCGGTTAACCTGTGGGAGGAGCACAGGGCAGGTCAGCAGAGAGGAACACTTTTGGTCCATGGGATTTGCTGGTTATTGGAAAGTCCTTTCTTCAAAATGCAGGTTTCTTCCCTGGGGACTCAAGCTTCTTACTGTTTCAGGACTGTTCCTCACTAGAGAGGCGATCCCCAGGAGATGTGCTTCGGCCAGCCCACCCACAGGGCCCCGGCTCCCTAGCACAGGCTGCTCCGGGGGTGCTCACCAGGTCCTTGACCATGCTTTCGATCTGCTCCTGGGCCACACTCACGTCCTCTGTGGGGCCTTCCAGGGTGATCCTGTCCTCACCTTCAGTGAACTCAATGTGCACCTACCAAACCCAAGTGAGGAGAGGGACCGTGCAGCTGTAGTGACTTCAGCCCCATGCCACCGCTGTTCCCAGAGGGCCAGAGGGCACTCTTGTGGGGGCAGCAGATGACCCCAAGCTGCTTCACAAAAATACAGGTGACGGACAGTCATATCCACCCCCACTACAGAGAGCAGAGGGATGGGGTGGGGGACTATCCTGGCACAAACACCATGGTCTGGTAAGCTTTCCTCTCTCCTTTCCTATATGCGGTGCTGGCCCAGAACCACCAACTTAAGCACAGGAACACCACTGGCACTCCACCCCGTGGGAACTTCTGGAGGGCCAGCTCCACCTCAGTTGTACGGGGCGGAGTTTTGCAGCAACAACAGCTGCCCAGGTGGTGGGGCAGCTTGCTCCCTCCTGACAGTGCATCCACCAGCACCAGATGAACCCAGAGTCCACAGCCAGGAAAGGTGAAACCAGGACCCAGCATGCAGGACGCCAACTCAACAGAGCAGGCGTGAGGGGCCACAGCAGCCCTGTGCTGCTTCCTTCCAGCTTCCCGGGGGCTCTGGTCTCCCCTTTGGTTGCAGGTTAAATTTATTTATTTGGGTTGGGGTTGTGGTTCAGTGGTAGAGTGCTTGCCTAACATGTGTGAGGCCCTGGGTTCGATCCTCAGCACCACATAAAAGTAAATAAGTAAAATAAAGATATTAAAAAAAATAAACTTAAAAAACCTGGGGCCTTGCACCAGCATGGCAGGCAAGTGCTCTGCCACTGAGAAGCACCCCCAGCCTGTCTCCCCTCTGGCAAAGGACAGCAATGTAGAGGGTAAAAAGGCCCATGAAATTAATACGTAAGAGTCTGTCTGAAGTGTTACGCTTCCAACTATTAATGAGGTAATACAGCACGATTATTAACTGGCATGCTTCTGAAGACACTTGTCAAACCTAGCAACACTCTGTCCCTGGTTACAAACAGCAGATTTATTCTGCAATCCCACAGCTAGCCTCAAAAGCTGGCTGTGTCCAGTAGGACGAATGAGCTGGAGAATGTGCCCGCCTTCAAAGGCACCCACAGGACAAACGGCAACAAGGTGTGTCAGACAAACCTGACAGGGGATAAGGCCCCCTCACCTTGGGCATCTGCTGTGTTATCTTGGCCAGGTTCTGCCCTTTCTTGCCGATGATGAACCGGTGAAGCCAGGAGGGGGCGGACACTGAGGAGACCGTGAAGCTGTTGGCCTGGGGAGACAGGGGAGCAGACTCGCAGGTTTGTGGAGCTTGAGGTCAGGCTACAAAAGAACCAGACTGTGCCTTTGGGGCTTGTGGGTGTATGCTCCCCAGCTGGGCACTACCTTGGCGTAGACCTCAGTCAGCGCCTGGCCCAGCTTCTCGGGCTCCCCTCGCAAGATCACCGTCTCAGAGGCGCTGTCTGAGGGGGGGATCTCCACAGAAACCCCAGTTCTCTCCAGGATCTCCTGCAGGGAGTTGCCTTTGGGCCCGATGACATACTTGTGCTGAGACTTCTTCACCTCCACTGCAATGGTCGTGGTCTTCTTTTTCTAAGTGGGAGGCCACAGCAGTAGTCAGAGGGAAAGGTGCAGAAGCAGGAGGTGGACAGACCTCCATGGCCAGCAGCAGAGGTAATGTGTCCGACCGAGGGCCCTGACTACCAGTGCCAATGTCTATCAAGTGGGGACCATGAGGGCCTTCCCCAGAAACTCACTTTCCAAAAACAGGACATCCCTGAGCCAGGTCACCCCTGGGCGGTAACACTAGGACCTGGAAGACTTAAGAACTCCAAGTCCTTTCCCAAAACCAGGGAGCGAGTCTCAGACCTCAAAGTTGGTCAATCTGAGTTATAGTTTCATCAAAGACACGAACATATCTGAGTCTTATGTGCCACTGTAGGAGGTGACTTATCAGTATGGACAGGGCGCACATGGACAGGACTGCAAGGACAACCACCCTGCAGCAGGCCAGCAGTGTGTGTGTGTGTGGGGCAACAAGCCCTAACCAGGCCAAAGGAGTACTGAGCTTTGTGTCCAAAGAGAACAGAATATGGGTCAGATGAAGCCTTGGCTAAACCTCCACCCTTGGACCCCACCGTCCGTCCTGCCCATGGGCTCCATGTCTGCACACCTTCTCCTCGTAAATCTTCTTGATGCGAGCCACAGCCTGTGCCAGCTGCTCCTTCTCTCCAGTGAACACGATTTCTGTCCGGCTGACACTGGGAGGGGGGATGTTGATGCGCGTCCCTGTTTCCTGCATGATCTCACCCACGAGTCTATTGTAGGGCCCAGCAATGAAGGGGTGGAAGGCCTTCTCCACCTCCAGCCTCTCCACGGCACGCTTGTCCTGGAAAGCACAGGTGTACTGGTGAGGACACCTGAGAACAGTGCCACTGGTTCACACAGGAGTGGCTGCCCACAAGCAGTGAGGGTGGCCTTGGGCAGGTAGGCAGGGTGCAGGGAGGCCTCACCTGCTCAGCAGAGATGAGCAGCACCTCATGGCGAGCCTTCTCAATGCCCTCTTTGGTGCCAGTGATCTTGATCTGGTTGCTGGGGTCATCTGGGCGTGGGATCTGGATTTTGGTTGCGGTTTTTAGCTCCAAGTCTTGCAATTTCTCTCCATTTTTGCCGATCACAAAACGATGGTGCTCTTTAGGAATGGCAACAGTTGCTGAGGCCTATAGCAGGTAGCAAACCGAAGAAAACAAGAATGCTTGCAGTTCTGTGAACAAGGTACTCTCTGGGTGGAATGCCCACCAAACCCTCCCCAGATGGGAGAATGGCATGAGGCCAGGCCAGTAGGCAGGAGCCCACAACAAAGGCAGGGCAGGAATAGGCCCATGGCCGCGGACCGGGAAGCTGCCCTAGCACTGCCTTATCAACTTCTGGACTCTGGAATCAGCAGCCTAACTTAGATAAACAATGAAGGTTTAAAGGCTGCAATACACGGGTAGAGAGCTGTCTGGCATGCACAAGGCCTGGGGCTCCATATGCAGCACAACCAAGAGAAAAAGAACACCCAGATGCAAACAGGTAGAACGTGTGTGTTATAAGTTGGGAAACAGGGCTGGGCAGGTAGCTCAGTGGTGAAGCACTTGCAAAGCATGTCCAAGGTCTTGGGTTTGATCCCTGGCACCACAAATCAAATAAAAAAGGTTGGTACTGATTTACACATAAACAGGAAATCACCCCTTAAGAGATCTAAAAGAATGTTCCCATCATAAAGACGTCAACCCTTGTGTAAGACTGACTTTTAAGAACGACTGCAGTTGAAGGCAGAGTAGACTAGAACGCTCACAGGGTAACACAAAAGCCAGAGCAGGACACACAAGAAAGCCCTGGGAGGGGCAGCTCAGGGTAGGGTGGTGACAGTGGTGTAGACATGCCACGGCCAGGAGAACCTCGGCACAGACACAGACCAAGGGCCAGGACTGGAAACCCAGAGGCAGAGCTGGACTCTGTGCGCTCAGGACATGGCAGGAGTAGTCCTCCAGGCCCTGGGGAGGACAGTCCTCTAAGACTGGTGCTGATGGAGGGACAGCCCATGCGAAGAGGTGACCCAACCAACCCTTCACCCCATCTGAGATGCATCCCAGAAAGACCCAGAAGTAAAATGAAAGAACATCCTTACGCAGGCCTGAAGAATACACGGAAATCTTTCTTATGACTTGTAAACAAAATAAACTTTCCTAACAATGACGCAAAATAATACACATAATAGATGTGACTACATAAAATAAAATATTCACTTAGCAAAACTTACTAGGATCAACTGAATGACAGTCTGAAAAAAATTATTTGTAATTTTCATCAATGACTTAAGATTTTTTTGTGGGAGTGGGGACTAGGCGTGGGGCCTTGCACACACTAGGCAAGAACTTTACCACTGAGCAATAACCCAGCCCTTTTTATTTTGTTTTGAGTCAGGGCCTCACTGCACTGCTGAGGTTGGCATTGAACATGCAATCCTCCTGACTCAGCCTTCTGAGTAGCTGGCTTCATAGGCATGCATCACCTTGCTCTGCTCAGGTAAATATAGTAGATCCTGAAGATTGAATGCAGTGAACAACTTCATAAAAAAAAGGCTAAAGGACAAACATTTCTCTGGCATACGCATGTAACTCTACCCACCCAGGAGGCCAAGGCAGGAGCAACTTAGAAAGACCCTGACTCAAAAATAAAAAAAATTAAAAAAAAATTTTTTTAGATGTTGATGGACCTTTATTTTATTCATTTATTTACATGTGATGCCAAACCCAGTGCCTCACACATGCTAGGTAAGCGCTCTACCACGGAGCTTCAATCCCAGCCCCTCAAAATTAAAATAAAATAAAAAAGACATGGCTCTGTGATCAAGCACTCCTGGGTTCAATCCCTAGTACCCTCTCCCTCCAAAAGAGGCTAAAGAACAGACATTTGACAGAAAAAAAAAATTGCAAATGAAAAGCAAGCTTGACTACTCAGACTGGCCCACCCCAGGTCCTGGGGCCCAGGCCTTCTCTGCTTGCTGATGGGCACGTGCACACTCCCTCTGAGGGGAGGAGCTGGCTGGCTGGCCATCCTCCTGCAGGACCCCATCCCAGGATGCATGCACTGGGACCAAGCAGGAAGTGGCCCAGGAACAGAATTCAAACCTGCAGAGCCTGGAGAAACCACTAAAGCCAGCAGCGTGCAGGCACCTCTCACTGAAATGCAAAGAGGAGCAAGCCACAGAGGAGGCAAGCACAGCCACCTTGGAGAGGATGGGGACGGGGTTAGAGCCCCAGAGCCCTGACTGGCAGGCCCCGCACTGCAGTCAGATACGTGCTGAAGCGCTGCTTACTTTTGTGTTTTGTGGTTCTGGGGACTGAAGCCAGAGCCTTGCCCCTGCTGAAGAGGCTCTGCCCCGAGCCACACCCCAGCCCTCTGTGAAGATTTTATTTCAGATGGGGGTCTCACTAAGTTGCTGAGGCTGACCTTGAATTTATAATTCTCCTGCTTCAGCCTCCAGTATGGCTGGGATTACAGGTGTGTGCACCACTGCACCCAGCTTGAAATGATATTTAAAAGTGAAAATAAACAGAAACAAATGCACCTAACTACATAGGAAAACCCAGAAAAAAGAATTACTGCAATTTAAAAACCATACCATTTCCCCTTCACTAGAGATAGTACGAACTCCTGACCTTCCTCTCTCATGAGTCCCCATTCTTAGGTCTGCTCCTGCTGCATCTGGACTGGCTTCTCCACCTGCATGTCCCACCCAACAGGCTCAAGGACAAACAGCTGACTCCAGGTCTGGGAAGGAGACTCTAAGATCAGCCCAAGATGTCCTTCTGCTGAAAGCGGAGAGCCCACAGTGCTGAGGGAAGGCGGCCTGCTAGGTGAGGCACTTCCAGCTGGCCCCTCCTGCCTGATCACCACTGGAGAGGCGAGCAGGGGAGAGGCACCCAGTGCCTACCAGGCACTTCCTGCCCAGCGTGGCAGAGCATAGTCCATCCTCTCCAGAGGGCCACCCAGTGGACAGGCAGATGCAGAAAAGAAAGCAAGGCAGGGACCACCCATGGTGGCAGCACCACTCACGTGGCAGCTGTGGCACAGTGGTGGGCACACCTGGGATCACAGGGACTCCAAAGGCTGAGGCAGGAGGGTGGCAACCAAGTGAGAGCCTGTCTTATGCTAAAGCGCAGCAAGAGCTGGGCATGTGGCTCCGTGGTGGAGCACCCTGGGCTCAATCCCCAGTACCAGGAAAAACGAGACAACTAGGCAGCCAGAGACCAATGGGGAGACTCAGGGACCACGCAGGGCGGACAGACCACCTCAGGCCTCACACCAGCCCCAGCCAATTGTGAGGGGCAGCAGCACAAAGCCCTTTCCACACATCAGTGGCACTGAGGAGGGGTGAGGTGTACCACTGAGGCTAAGACTCGTGACACTGAGCTCTCCAGTGCTGGTGTAGACTGTGACTGAGACTGACGTGAAAACGAAGGCTGGAGGAGAGGAGAGAGCGAGAGGCAATGCACAGACTGGGTCGGGCGTGAGTGTGCCAGGACCTCCGTCAACCTTGCTAAGGCAGCTCGTGGCACAGTGACTGTGGCTCAGCATCTGCCTGGCAAGCAAGAGGGCCTGGGTTCCATCCCCAGCCCCTCAAAAGAAATTATATACACACACAGTAGACTATTTGCAGGTAAAATAATGTGTATGAGGTTCACTTTGAAATGACCAAGGGGCTGGAGTGTGGCTCAGTGGTAGAGTACTTTTTAGCATTCATGAGGCCCTGGGTTCCAGCCCCAGCATGGGTAAATCAAGCAAGCAAGCAAACAGCAAGGATGTGGACCAAGAAAAGTGCTTCTGCACGGCCCATACACACGATGGTTCCCCATGGGGTGTTCCGCCACAAAGCAGATGCGCAAATGCCTGTGACAAGCAGACGGCAATGGACACTTCAGAGTCTCTCTGCATTTCTCTGCACAATGCTCAACTACTAGAGTATTTCCATCTCTGTGACCTTGACCTGTGTAACTCCACGAGGCCACTGGGAGTCTGAAACTATCTCTGGGACCCGTGTGGCTGAGCCTGTGGCAGCACAGGGCCACACACCCCTACAAACTATGGCATCCCTGAGCCAGCTCCCACAGCGGAGGCAGGAGGAGCCCAGTTCTGAACCAACCATCCAGCATGGAAGCTGTCATGTAAAGACCCTGCCTCAGAGAGGCTCTCCACCTTGGTCTTGGGGAAAGTGTACCACAGATTTACTTAGTCCACTGGTTCCCAAATAAATTCCAGTACGAGTGCTGGACAGCCAAGAAGAGGAATGGGTTTAAAACAAGCACAATCTGCTGGCATCCGGGCGGATCGCCAGTTCCAGGCCATCCTGGCAACTTGGCAAGATCCAGACTCAAGAGGCTCTGGGTTTGAGCCCCAGTACAACAAACAAGAAAGACAGTATCTGAAATCGGAACTCCCAATCTGGGGCCGGGTAGAGTGTACCAACACAGACATGCTAGCTGATTCTCAGGCAAAGTCGGAGATGGCAGCTCTACACCATCTAGCAAGCCTAGGTTTTTTTTCCCACAGTATCTCAAACTCTGGGATAAGCCTTCACATTTTCAGTACATCCACTCAAAGCCTGAATGGTAGGTGTTCCAGTTCTACTGCAATATCAAGAGTTTTAAATGTTGCTGTTCTAATTCCAAACGACTGAGTTGCTCCACTGATAGAAGAATCTGGAGAGGGACTAGGTGCACCAGGAGCTGGGGACACTCACCTGAGTCTGCAATCGAGCGACAATGTCCTTCCGGGCTTTCATGACAGCATCCAGCTTCCCTGAGACCATGATGGAGAGGCCTTGATCTTTGGCCAGAGACAGCTCCAGGTGAGCGCCAGTCCTCTGCATGATCTCAAGGCAGATCTTGGCTTGTTCACCTTCTCCAAACTGGTTCATGTCCTTGTACTTCCTTTCCTCCAGGGGCACGTGGAACACCTGCTCAGGAAAAATCAAAAGTTGAGGGAGGTTAAGATGTCAGAGAAGAGAAGTACAACCACGAGGCAGTGGGGACCCCTGATCATTCATGAGCAGCACTGCCCCAGGGCAGCCAGTGGCTCTCAGGGGCTGTGCTCTGGGGCAGAAGACAGCTACACCACTACACTAAGGACTGAAGACAAGCAACAGGAAGCCTGTGGGGCTGACAATTAGGGAAGCAGCCACATGGGTGGAATGGACAGCAGGACCTGGGGATGGCTGGGCAGAGGAGAGAGCAGGGGGCAGCAGGAGGTGGGGAGAACACGGGTGAAGGGTGCACGTCAAGGGCACTGTCTGGATCCCTGTGGTAAAAGTTGACAAGTTTTAAATTAGGACAGATTCTCCTTAATGACTCAATGGCTTTATGGGGACTGGGATCACAGCAAGTAGCACTCAACGAGATCATTAGCAGGACAACTTGTTTTTGGCAGTGATGGAAAGAAGGGTGGCCAGGTGCTTGTGAGCACAGAGGGAGAATGCCTGTCAAGGCAGGGCGGTCATTCCCCACCACGGGCAGACATGGATTCCTGTGTAAGCTGAGGCCCACCAACAGCTCACAGTCAGGGCACAGAGGGGAGGGTATGTGCAGCTCAGGAGAAGCAAGACCAGCACCTGAAGGCACTGCTGGTGTGGATAGGTAGGGCAGCTCCCGCAGGTGGGAATGAGAACTAGACAATAGTGGGGGAAATGCATGGGGTACGGCGAGGTGAAGAGGGTGCCTGCCTTCCCTGAGACTGCTGTCCCCTGCATGACCAATGGCAGGGAGCAGGCAGACCCACCTGAGTGATGACGGAGGCCTTGATGGGCCGGATCTTGGTGCTCCAGGCTCCGGCGGGTTCCTGGGCACTGTCCAAGCACGCTGCCTTCTCAGGAAGTGGGGGGAAGGCATCCTTATAGGTGGGAGGGTCGCTCTCCTCTTCTGAATTTAAAGTAGCCACTGGACCAGCCATCACAGATTAGAGGAAGAGATGACTTTAGTGAACACACTGGGAGGGCTCCAGTGGACACCTTCACCGAGATGCCAACTGCTTGAGTAATATCCGCCACCTCCTCATTCCCAGGAGAGGAAAGGCCCAGCAGTCATCAGCCCCTCTCAGTATGTGAGCCAGACTGGGCCAGAGACTCCCGATCCCTGACACTAAGTCTTCCCACCTCGACGTGGTCCCCTATGAATGGTCAGCATGGTGACCATGAGCCCTACTCCCACACTGGGGCCAGTGAGCCCCTGAAGGCAGAACTTGCCACAGATGTTTGCAGATTCTGACATCATGACTGTTGACTGTGACCGGCACAGAGCAAACAGAACAGTGCTGCCCAGCATGGTCTGCAGCAGCCACCTTCGAGGTGGGCTCCAGCTGCCTTTACACCATGGTACACAGTGCTGAAATCGATTCCAATGGGAATAACTTCCTCTGATCTCCCCCAACCCAAAGCAGGAACAGCAGGACCTGCAGAAGGTAGTGTCCCTATCACTGTGGCTCTTGTGGTCTCTGTTCATGTTTCTGTCCCATTAAGCATGATCTCTGTGGAAGCAAGGGCATGGCTATCCTGGGCTCTCCTGAGCTCCCAGAGCAAGGCCCCAGGAAAGTACCCAGTGTACAGGTGCGCAAACACACACACACACACACACACACACACACACACACACAGAAGCAAGATCTGTACCCAGGGCCAGGCAGTGCTGCCTGGGGCTAGATTCTGTTGGTGCCACCTGCAGTCGCAGTGTGATGCACTAAGTAGAAAGATCTTAGGCCCCAAGCATTCAGAACCAGGGGAGCAGCAGTACCCAGGGCCCCATCCCCTGATGGTCACTAGAAACGGACATTCCAAGTATGGTCAGCAGGACCGAGGCAGGGATTTTAAATTTTAAATAATTTTAAATGCAATAAGTAACAATTCAATTACTGAAAAACTTTAAAAATGTCTTTAACGACTTGGAGTAAAATGATCTGCTCTTTAATAGAAAATTTTCAGAAATTTAATTCAGTTAAAGGGTTTTAATATAATTTAGTATTCAAATGAAAATGTCCTATAGTTATAAATACACACCAAATTTTGAAGGAAAAGAAAAAACATGAAATGTCAGGTTTTTCTTTTTCTTCTACATTAAAGAAATGTTGGAATGGATATTTTATAACATATTGTGTTAAAATACATTAAAATCAGTTTCGCCCATTCCTTTTCACTTGCCGTGGGTACGAAGCAAGACACAGCTGTTTGGATGACCTCCCCTCCCCAGCCCAGAGTGCCCTGGGGGCTCTGAGAGGTGTGGCATCCCGTCTCCAGCACAGTGTGCAGCACAGAGCTCTGTGCTTCACTGCCAGGATGCAGCGCGCACAACTGGGACAGCAACTCTGAAAAAAGATCCCGGTGGTTACCAGAGCTCAATTCAATGAATCTGCCAAAGGCTGTCCATGCTTGGCCTCTCCTGTGCCTGGCCAGTTACACCTGCACACCCAGCAATGCAAAACAAGAGTGCATGGAATGGGTAGGGCAAAGACCCTTCCAGAAAGACATGGGATGTGGCAAGCTTTGCCAGGAAGTTAGCAAGAGGAAACCCAAAGGAGCTATCACCTTTGATTTGCTGCGGAACCAGTCCACTTCGGTGTTCGGCAAAACTCTCTTGTGTCAAAACTGCAACGGAGCTCATGGTTGATCTCACACCCACACGTGATCCGGGTAAGCCACTACAGTAAGAAAGGGGAGTCAAACAGAGGGAAAGTCAAAGCTGACACTCAACTGCCTCTGAGACAGTTAACCAAAGGTTTTTTTTGTTTTTAGAGAGAGAGAAAGAGAGAGAATTTTATATTTATTTTTTATTTTTCTGTGGACACAACGTCTTTGTATGTGGTGCTGAGGATCGAACCTAGGCTGCACACATGCCAGGCAAGTGCGCTACTGCTTGAGCCACATCCCCAGTCCAGTTAACCAAAGTTTTAACTAGGGTTTTATTTTCATTTGCATTAAAACTACAACTTTTATTTTCTTTGTAATCTCTGATGTGAACTGATTCCCAAACTCTCACCAAAGGAGAACAGGAAAAGATAGGAGTAAGGCAGGTTTTAGGACAGCTGGTCAACTGTCCTCCCAAGGGAGCCTTCTATCAAGGAACAAAGCTCTGGCCAAGAGCTGCTCAGGGTTGGAGAGACTGTACCCACCTCCCCACTAGAGCGGCCACTCAGAGTCTGCACCATCCCTTGTTCAGAGCCCTGGGACTAGTAGCACCTGTCCCTGGCTGGCCCATTCCCTGGCACAGATGGCACCTGAATCTTTTCCCTCAAGGCTACCTGGACCTCTCCGCTCATCTGTCAGTGTGTTCACTATGTGCCTCCTGACATTGCAGGGTGCTGCTCTGGATAGTTGCTACAAAGGGCCATAGGATACCCAGGTGCTCATTCAGGGCCCAGAAGAGCCACTCCAGAGTCCCAGGCATGGCAGGAAATAGCCGCCTCCATGCTCTGTGGTGGTCACCCAGCAGGTGCATATATGGTGCTGAATGTCCCTGACATCTGTGACTGACTTTTCTCCTCCACTGTCTCCCAGGTATCAGAGAGACACAAAGGAGGGGAGAGCCTGGCTCAAAGCACAGTCCTCAGTAGAACAGCAGCTCTAAGGTGGGAGTGCCTGCTTCCCTCTCCTGGTCCAACACCAGGGAGTACCCTGCTACACGAACAAGGCCGTTTTTGCCACACGCTTGGACCCAGGGTCTCACAAGCGTCACCTTTGCAGAAAACAGGAGTGCCAAGTTAACTTATCATGAAGGAACAAGGTTTTGCATAAATTTTACAACAAAGATTTCTGCCCAAGTTTGGAAAATTAAGTTCTGCTTCCTAAAGCAAAATAAGATCCAAATTTGGATAATTCTTTTTTTTTTTTTTTTTTTGGAGAGAGAGAGAATTTTTGGACAATGCTGCCATATGACATTGGAAGGACATTCACCCTTTTGCCTTGTTTATATGTTTTGGATAATTCTTTTTTTTTTTTTTTTTTTTGAGAGAGAGAGAATTTTTAAAAATATTTATTATTATTATTTTTTAGTTTTCGGCGAACACAACATCTTTGTTTGTATGTGGTGCTGAGGATTGAACCCGGGCTGCACACATGACAGGCGAGCACGCTACCACTTGAGCCACATCCCCAGCCCAAATTTGGATAATTCTTAACAAATATATAATTCACATGCAAGAAAATGAGATTGAAAACAGATGGAAGGCAGACAGCACCTCTGAAGAGCATGTGCCTTAGACTGTGATGCTGAGAGGTAAGTCACAGAGATGGCCGTTCAGGAGAGGCGCCGCCGAGGACAGAAGGCACACAGGGCTGTGGAGACACCTGCCCAGCACCTGACACTTTGGGTGGTAGAGTCAAACTTACCAGCAAAACGGTCGGTAGCCAGAAAGTCCGTCCCGAGGCCGCCTCTGTCAGCCTGCCAGCTTTTACTGGGATGGGATACGATGGAGAGAACAGAGAAAAAAAAACGGAGAGAACAGAGAAAAAAAACAGAGAAAAGTTACTTATTCGCATCTTGAAGCCAAGATCCGAGCATCTTCTAGTGAGAAAGGCCAGAATCTTTTTTACGATGTGGCTGTTGAGACCAATACTCAGGCAAGCTGCAAGCTTTGCTCTTAGGCCATTAGTTTTGACCCAAACACCACATGAAACCTGACCCATTGCACCTCTTCTAGGGACCTGAGGGAGTGGCCACCGAGTGTCAAAACTTAAATCTAACCAGTTGGCAGGAATATTCTCACAAAATCGACAGGCTCTCCTGAGGGTTAGTCACCCTTCCTCTACCCTCAGAGCCTCTGGGTCAGGGAGGGTGTGATGCTGGGCTATGGCATAGGACAGAAAAGGGACCTAAGGGCTCCTGAGCTTCCAGGGTAACCCAGAGCTCCTGTCTTTTTAAGAATTCTCAGTAACTCTACAGTCCCTTTGTTCTTGCTGTTATCCTGTAAAAGTCCTTCAGTCCCTTCTAATCCACTGAGGATTTAGAAACCAGGTCATAAAATCGCAGGACTGGAAGGAACCTTCAAAGGCCACTGGGGGAGGACCAAGAAGGACCCTGTCAAGTGAGAGTCACAGCTTCCACACCTTGCGGGGGGGCTTGTGGGTGAGCGACCCCATCAGGTAGGCCACCTGACTGCATACAGCCCCGTGGGCTCCTGAACTCACAAAGTGGGCTTTACAGTAGGTATGAGCCCGAGTCCAAGAGGAGAAACAACAGCAGGAACAGGATCATTCTGTCTGACCAGAGAACAACTACACACTCGCGAGAGAAGTAAGAATCAGGGTCCCAGGCTCCAGTAGAGGAGGGGGACTCGATGGCGACCTAGGCCCAGGGTTTGAAACATAGGCCAGAGGCCATAGTCCCTCAGGGAGCCCTCACATTAGCCACACAGGTGTGCCCTAACTGAAGGAGGGGGGACAAACTGATTGGGGATATTTTATATAAGAGTAGCATCGCGGCTAGGGATGTGGCTCAAGCGGTAGCGTGCTCGCCTGGCATGCGTGCAGCCCGGGTTCGATCCTCAGCACCACATACAAAAACAAAAAAACAAAAAAAAACGATGTGCCCGCCGAAAAACTAAAAAATAAATGTTAAAAAATTCTCTCTCTCTCTGTGTCTCTCACTCTCTCTAAAAAAAAAAAAAAAAAGCAGCATCAACAAATTCTAATTTATAAATCTTTAAGTCTAAAGTGAAGGAGAAAACCTGTTAAATTATGAACAGTAGAATGTTCATGAGTCACACCTGTTCCCTGAGGTTCCCAGGGTCTGGCCAGTCCATGCAGAGCCCTTCTAAGAAGATGGGGTGCTCTGGACATATGCCTCTGGCCCCTGCTCCCACCCTTCCCGCAATCTTCCTGCAAGCTTTGCTGTCGACCTGCATCTTTACGGTCTGGACCCCCACATGAGGTCATCCTGGTTCAGGCTCTGATGTCTCTTTGCTCCCTTCTTCAGTGGTGGGGATTAAACCCAGGGGGCCTCCTTTATGCTTGGGAAAGCTCTCTACCACTGAGCTGCATCCCTGACCCTTTTAAACATTTTAAGACAGGGTCTTGCTAAGTCACTGTGACTGTCCTGGAGCCTGCAGCCCCCTCCTGCCTCAGCCCCCAAGTGGCTGGCATTACGAGTATACAACTGCATCCAATTCCACTTCTTAAGCCCAGACGCCCACACCTTACCAAGCCAGATTGGTCCTTGTGACCTCAAATTACACCCACATGCTTACGTCGGTGCTGCACTGACCATCACCCTGCTTTCCAGGACTGGGCACGTTTTCAGTGCCTGTGACAGCCACACTAGCTTGAGCAATGTCACATTAGCTCTCACCGACTGCAGCACAGAGCTGTGCCTGGTGGGTCCCAGCTGTGTCCACTGTTAGTCTCTTCCACACCTTCTGGAAGTCCATCCCATCTAGCCCTTCTGTGCACTCCCATGTCCAAGTGGGTGAGAAAGGAGCCTGCACGCAGCTGAGCCATTTCCAGGGAGAATCTGAGCAAGGTCCCAGAACTTCCCAGTGTGCAAAGGCCGTCGGCTGCCAAGGACAGCAGAAGAACCTCCAGAAACCTCCAGACTGGTCTGACAAGACACCGTGGGGCCCTAGCCTTCATATTTCAAATAACCATTTGTCAGAGCTAGAGGTAAATAGATCACAACCAGGGATGTGTTTAATAACCAGGGCTCTGGTTCCATCCAGTAGGTGGCTGTTGAAGTCCAGCGTCAAGATATGGGGAAAGCTGTGACTTCTTCTCCCTTTGGGTTAGACAGAGAACTGGCCTCCTCTCTCTCCTCACTCCACCTCCCTCAGGATCCTCACAGGGCTCCAGGCCCTCAGCACCAGCACTGCTCTGAACTACTTCTTCCACAGGAAGCTGGGGTCCTTCAGAAATCAATTCTACCCAATGCAAACCTCAAACTATTCTTAACCTGCACTTTAAAGTTTTGTTTTCAAGGATGTGAATGTCATAGCAAAAAAAGTCACCACATACAAATAAATAAATATATAAAAATTAAAGATATTTTGTCCATCTACAACTAAAAACATTTTAAAAAGCCACATCTCAAAATCCAAGCATGCAGCTAACAGAATCAGAACCATTGGAAGAAAGGCAGAAGCCAAGAGCTTCCTCTTTTATCCCAAGAAAGGGGGTGGAAGAGCATCCAGTGGGGGCCACAAGGGAGATGGAAGTGAGAAGGCACGGGAGACAGTGGGAGATCCCGGGAGGTCTGGCTGAAAACCTGGCTAACAAGCAGACAGCAAGGAAGGATCTAACCGTAGAATTGTGTTTACTTCTCAACAAGGAAGTATCTGAGAGCCAACTATCTGTGTAAGGGACAGGCGTCTGCAGGGAGCTCCTGAGCCATGCCTCAGGGCCTTCTGTGTCAGAGACTGCTGAGACCAGCCACGGTGTCTGGTGGGGTGGGGGAAAGCACCAACCCCCTCCAGCAGAGATAAAGCTGCTTACTTTCACGTCCTCTGAAGTCTCCCAAGGAACGTATTTTTCAAAGTACCCAAGACTACAAACTCCAGAATAAATATAAAGTCCTGCTCCACTGAAAGATCACGAAATCCAGGTCTGCAAGCAGTGGGGCGCAGGGTGCACAGGCAGGCCGGCGCCGTTCTACCCAGCTCTGGAAGTCAGACCCGGCCAGCGGAGGAACTTTCGCAGATGCCACCTCAGCACGTCCCTCCCACAGGCCACGAGCGCCCGCGGGCGGGGACAGGCTTAAAGGGACAGTATCCCACTCGGCCTCCTGGCCTTTCATCCAAATTCGGTATTTTTCCGTAATGCATTTTTCACCCGCGGACCCTGGGGCGCGTCCAGGTCGCGCTGGGCCGAGGAGCCCGAGCCGAGGAACCGAGGAGCAAGCTGCCTGCCCGCCACCACGTTGCCCGGCGCGGCAGGTGGAGGTGCGGCCCGGCCGGGC